TGCATAAAGATTATTACTGCTTTGTCTGGTTCAGCTAATTTAAGGTCACTTCTCATAAATAAAATGACAGCTTTTTGTGTGAATGCCAAATTGTTAGTTTTTAACTGTATTTAAAAAAAATCTCAAATGGACTTAAGCTAAACAGGTTAGAAAATGACACCATCTTTAGCCAAAAGCTGTGATGATGTTAAAATAGATTAAGCAGCTCCAGGTTTAACACAATGAATCTTTAAGGTTTGCTGACATCAGAAGTGACACTGCTTCCACGGAATGCTTTTGGTGTTCTCTAAGACACCACATGCTCTGCCAGACAGCCACCAGTGATCTCATGGAGTATCCTTGAGAATCACCCATCCACAAGCTCAGAGGCTTCAAAATAGAAAGAGGAAACAAAGGGGAGCGAGACAGATGGGATCACATGCCTGGATCTGAAGTACTGAAGAGAAGAGAGGCACAGAGACAGAAAAAGCAGGAAATCATTTTACACCAACACACTGCACTGCTCTTCACACAGCACTGCCTGTGAAGTCAGTTTATGGGTCTACACTCAGCAAAGTGTGCAAACAAACCGACCTTCTCAGTAGGAATGGCAGGGAAGAAGGCACACACAAGTACTAACTCAGAGCAGTTTGCCTCAGCTACATCAGACAATAACAATGAACCAACATAGGTACATTCAAATTCATCATAATTCCACAGCACAAGCCAGCACTGGGTGGCCAGCATCCTGTCCTCCCCTTCCTAGCAGCATGCTTTAAAGATGCACAGCTACATTTTGTAAAAGCCATGAGTAGTTACATCTGACATGAAAAATACAAAATTATTAATACTCAGCTCATAACCACAAAGCAGCAGAGATCAGCACTCCCCATCCGACTGCAGCTAATGCAAGCTCGTAAAGCCTCCTTCCTTTGTAAAGCACCTCAGCTAAGTTTGGTGACCAGCCGTCATGTCTCAGTGCTCACAGACACATCATCATCTCTCCTTCTTCCTACCCTTAATTAAGCTCCGACAAACCATGCTGATAGAATCAAAACCCATGTGAAAAGCATTTGTCATCTCAGCAGCAACCTCAGATGAAGCACGACAAAGGTAAAAAGAAAACCAAACTGAGCAGTTCCCACATTTGAAAAGTTTTTGTCAATGAAGGAGTGCAGGGCCTGATCACACAGGACTTAAGCTCTGAAGCTGATGGATTACAATCTCAATTTCTTCATTTTCACTGATGTCTGACCATAGAGGCATTGCTTTAACATTTCATCTGAAACGTGACTAATTAACTGGTGTAGATGCAGAATCCAAAACCAAAGAAGTATTTATCTGGGTTGCAGTAAACATCAAAGGAAAAATAAACCAGCAATAAAAAAGATCTGACAAGTTCATGTGAATGCTCTGCATTTAGCTCTTGTTTTAGAGTAACAGTCTGTTATGTTGGCTCCTCTGCAGTTCAATGATTTCCTGTTAGGAATTTAAAATTAGAAGCCTCCAACAACTTCCCCATAAACTATTTTCAAGGTTCCTTTAATATCCACATCAATGAGATGTAGAAGGTTCATATGTTATCCATGTCAGTTCACTTCCTTCCCACTTCAAACTAGGCACGTTGCAGGAAAAGTCTCCAGGTTTTTTTGTTCTTAGAACTCCCCCCCACTAAGTAGATCCAGCTATAACAATTAAGAAAGAAAGCTGTTCACTTGTGCAGCCTCTCATTTAAGCTGTGACAAAATGGGAATACTCAGTCTAAACCAAAAAGCCTAGGCTATGGTAGCTGATTCCTTAAATCTTGTAAGAAACCTAAGTCCTCCATCAGTTTTTGATTTTTCAACTGCATCCATGCTGAACTTCATCTACATGAACACAGCAATTCAACAAACAAATTTCTGCTCTGTGACATGACCTTACCTTTAATGAAAGCAGGCAAACATGGCAGCATAGGAAACAGATCCGATCCTCCTCATTCGTGCTTTATATAACCATATTCCTGCAAAACAGAGATGGCACTTGGTACTTCTCATCTACAAGTCTCCAACTTTAAACCACTGGTTATTCTTTTGACTCTGAAATGCAGTGGTAATTGCAGTAGTAATAGTACTACAGCACACCTACAAAATGGTTTGAGAGCATCTGCAAAGAGACATTCCACCTCAGTTCCTTACTGGGTCAACAGAAGTCTTTGCAAATATTTACCACCTTCCCAGTAAAAACGAGCATTTATGCATAACCACCAAAACAGCTCCTTATACAAATGTTTTCTAACAAATTCCAGATGAGAAGGAATTAGGTGAAACTACAGTTGCCTTAGATTGACCTAAGAGCAAAAAGCAGTAGCAAAAAATGCAATCTTGCTGCTCTAATAAACATAAAGGCCCCAGTTTGGCTGAAATAACAATCTACATGATATATATATACATAATATTTTTTTTCACTCTTCCTAGCTCAGCCACAATCAAAAAACAAGAGCAGAGACAATGCTGCTGCCTTTTGTACGGCTTTGCAGGCTGAATGACTTAAAGACATTAAGTCATGCTTTCAGGTACCAGTTTGGAAGCGTCCATTTGAACTACCAGCTCCAGTAAAGCAGACTTCAGTAATACACTGCTGTACAGAAAGCAGCTTGGTACCTATAGCTGTCTGTTGTTTCCTTTTTTCTTGGAGGCTTGAAGTCTGCTTTTTTAACACAGTACAGCATAACATCAAGCTCTGCGTTCTGCTGAAATTACAGAGCCATCTTTTTCTGCAAATGTAAAATCTCTTTTGTATGGACTTCTTCTACAGAAGAAATTTTGATAATCACGAGGTTGTTTGATCTCCAGGGCCAGTTTTTCTAATAGAAGACTGTGATTAAATTTTCTTTATATGTTTACCCATCACACAGCCTCGTCTGCATCCCCAACCACTACGATGACACACAGATGTACAGAGCCACTGCATTCCATACGCTTTACATGTGAGTCCTTCAGACACACAGATGCATCTTCAAAAGCTGAGATTACACAAGGCAGACTGACTGAATGCTTTTGCCTAAACAACATACATTATGATTTTGCTTTCAAACATCGTATTTGTAAAAGTTCTTTAAATGTTCCCCTATATAAAAAAGACAAAAGGGTAGAGAAAGATATCAACAAAGATAAAAATAGCCATCAGAACCTCTGCCAGCAAGAACTGAAGTCAGAAAGATCTTTTAACATCTGCAACTACTAATGAGTAATTGCACTAAAATAACATACGGATGTGAAGAGCACATCACTGAACAGAGCCATTTAGCTACTAAGCTCATAGCACAACTGAAGCAAACAGAGCCATACAAGGAACAAAGCACTGCATAAGTGTAACTTTATTTTGAAAACTCAATTACTTAAGGAAAAAAATTGAAGTAGCATGCAATTAACTGCACATTACTTCAAATGCTTATCTGTTATCTCAACACTAAACACACTGAATTGAGGACTTACCAATGCTCTGTGAATGCTTTTAAGTACAAAATATGCATCTACAACAGATTACCAAGTTGCTTAATAGATAGATATATTAAAATCTACAGTTCTAATAAATAACAAAAACTACCATAGCTGAATTTTACTCCTATCTAGAGATTAAAGCTCTTTAGCCACCAAGATTATTCTCCAGGCTTTATCAAAATTAATTACAGAGCACAAACATAACAACATACTCCAGAGAGAGAGTTGCTGCTTTGTCCTTGTTTCATCAGGACATGTATTTCCCCGGCCCACCCCAGAGCATGCCTGTGATATACTTGATACAAAGTCACACAGTAACAAATTGCCACTTAGCTTTTAAAGCATAGTAACTTCACAAAAATTAATAATAATAATAATAATAATAAAACACGGTCTACTGCCACAGCACTCTTAGAAGTTACATTTACTTTGATTATAGTCGTTATTATTCTCTTATTACTCAACTTTAAAGCAAAACAAAAAACACTTTAATTACAAGAACTATGGCTTCCTAGGTATCATAAATACTTTTCCAGAATAGTGTAGAAATCTGCCTTACCTGTACTACCCTGAGAGGCCTCCAAAGTCTCCCAGCCACTCCAGCAGCTGGCTGAGGTAAATAACCTCCACCCCCAGGGGTCAATTGCCAATAGCAGCCAGCTGCCTTTCCCCAAGTGAAAGCAAGCCACCCGAGCTCAGAAAGCGATTAAAGAACACCTGAAGACACAGATAGGCAACAGGTTCCTCACTGCCACGTTCGTTTCTACCCAGCCCTGTAACACTTTTTCTACAATGAAATGACAAAGCATTATGCCCTTGAAGGGGGTGGGGGAGGGGGGCAGGGCAAAAGAGCAGGCAAAGGAAGCATGAAGTTTGGGCGATATCGAGTTCCGTACGGAGTGCTGAGCCCTGAGGTCCCGCCGCGTTCCCCCGGGCTGCGCAGTGCGGGGCTGCTTCACACCCAGGGCTCCCAGGTGCGGCTGCCCGCTACGCCCCTAGCGCGGAGAGCAAATCAGCCTGAAAGATAACGAGATACTGACAAAACGCAGCGCTACTTGCACGTGGGGCTAATTTACACAGAGAAAAGGCCGCTTTTTAGCACATGGCAGCCAACGGGGCCCTTCGGACAGGCAATGAGCTTCAGGTGCGGCTCCGAGTTCGCCCCGAGCTGCGGGCACGGCCGTCCGTCACTCGAGGGCCGGGGAGGGCAGGCGCTGTGAGGGAACGCTCGGAGCCCGCCCTGCCGCCCCGTGCCGATCCCGAGCCTCACCGGGGCCACAGGGTCGCCACAGCCCCACCCCCGCAGCCCGCTCCTCACACCCCCACGTACCCGTAACCCCACCGCTCTTCCCTCCCTCCCTCCTCCCCTCTCAGTCCCCCATTCGCTCCTCGCGCCTCCCCAGCGCAGGCAGTTCAACCCCTCACCCCTTCTCTTCCCCCCACCGTCCCCGCTCCCGCCGCCTCTCCCTCCCTCCTCCCTGCCGCTGGGGCTGCGGGAGCCGCGAGGCGGAGCGGGCCGGGCAGGGGGTGGGGGGAAGGCGGCTCCGCACACCCAAGATGGCGGCGGTGGAGCTGGAGTGGGTGCCCGAGACGCTCTATAACACGGCGATCTCGGCCGTGGTGGATAGTTACGGGCGGGCCCGGCGCCGGGACATCCGCTCGCTGCCCGAGAACATCCAGTTCGACGTGTACTACAAGGTGAGGGCGGGCGGCGGGCCGCTGAGGGAGGCCGGGCCCGGGCCGGGCCTGAGGGGCAGAGAGGGAAGGAGAGCGGGGCTGGGGAGCTGGGGGCCGGGCCTTCCCTGAGGGGCGCGCCGAGCGCGCGGCCTGGCTTCCTGCGGTGCCGCCGGGCTGAGGCCCGAAGGTCTGAGAGCGGGAACGAGGGACCGCGGGGCCGCGCGTGAGGAAGGGACTGCGGGGAGGCTGGGGCTGTTTGGGTCCGGAGGGGGGAAGGGGCTGCCCTTGAAGTGAGGAATCGGAGTGGGTGGAGGCGCTTGCCAGGCTGGGGGGGGGGGAAGCGGTCGGGGAGCGCGAGTTTGTGTTGAGCTGTGCGGAGGTTTTTCTTTTTCCTTCCTTTTCCACCCCCATGTTGCAGAAGGTGCTGTCTGTGGTGGAGGTTGCCGGGTCTGCCGTGCTCGTGTACGTTTAAATGTCTGTTTGGAACCAGGTGGAAGGAATTGAGGATCTTTAAATGGTGCCGTTTATCAGCTTTATGTCATTTTTTCACGTGGTGGCTGTTTCTCACTGAGCTGCCTCCAAAATACCCAGAGTTACAGTAAAGGGTGTGCTGAGATGGTCCTTGAATTTCTATTGTCCACCAATTAGGCATTCCATCCATCTGTGGGAACCACTGGAAATAAGCATTCACCAGGAGAGACTCAATGTATTTAAAAAAAAAAAAAAAAAAAAAAGTGGGAGATGACCTTTATTTCCTCTGCCAGTTAAGTTCTAAAAACTTGGGGTGCTAAACAAAGTAATTTTTTTTGTAAGTCTTGGTGAACCTGGAATAGTGGCCCATCCAATGTTGGTGCAGAAACAGTATTTAGAAGGCATGCTGATTGTCCCTGGCGACAGAGAAACTGTTACTACCCAGTTGAAACACACAGGTACATTTCTGCACCCTGGGTGTCTGTTGCTTCTCTTAAGAGCTGAGAACTGTGGGAAATGTTCTGCCGCAGCGAGCATGCTTGGGGAAGGTGAGGTGGCTGAGATGCAGCTATCAGTGGATAAGCCCTATGGATATGGGGCTAACAGCATGGGAGAACATTCTGAGGCTTATTTTCAGCTGTTGGCAGGGATGGCCATTGACACTGGCATTGTCTGTCTTGACATTCATACAGATGAGGGATGGTTCCCAAGGGCTTAAAAACGTAGAAAGAATTTCACAAGTTGGTGATACCCAATCATGTATTGTTCCCACTTCCTTTAAAAACTCATCCAGAGGTGATCTTAATAGGTTACGTATACTTCTATTAACACTCTTCAATTGTTACATGTATCAGGTTCATTTGGTGTTTTTTCAATATTAAAAATAATCCAGAAATAGATTTGAGTTCTAAAGAGGCTTTTAAATCTATTTGCTCTGCTCATGTAACAAGCAGCATGTTTTGTTCAGGAGGTGGTAACAAACATTCCATGGATCTGTTTGGTTGTACTCATCACTAGCCGGTGTAATTTCTGTTAACCATGATAATTGGTATTATTGTTTTGCCTGTATTTTACAACAGGCTGATCCTTGATAATCTGAACTGTATAAGGTGCACCTATAATGGTGCATACATACATCATGTAGAATAAATACCAACACGTGGTGTAGTTTGGTGACTGTTGTGCCAGTGCTACCAATGGTAAGATCGTCTCCTAGGAGAATACCTCGTCTTCAGTGGTTGCGTTTAAATTAGCTAATATATAAATATAACTTAATCTTGGCTGGGGTGCTAAAAGCAAGCGTAGTCCTGACTGAATGGTGCTGTGCGTGCAGAAACGTCTGCTTTCAGCCAGCACCTCAAAGCATAGCTCAGGGAAATCTTGTGGAACAGTGCTTGCATTTTTCTGTGCACCTGTATGACAATGAGTGCTGGTTCTTGATTTCTGTGTTTGGATGGCTGAGGAATATAAATGGTACTGGTGAACTAGTCTGGGAGGAGGACTCCTTCACACCTCGGAGCAGTTCCCTGCATGCTGTGTCTGGTGCTTGTTTTGCTTTTTGGTTCTGAACGCAGTTGCTGTGCTTTTCAAAAAGATGCAGGCATTAAATACTGTTGTAGGTTAGTATATGTATTCTTAGGACATCCTGATGATGAGCTCTTTAAGCCAGAAGTACGATTTCTGGAACCCACTACCAGTCCTTAACAGAAGGCGAGCTAGAAGACTTCTAAATCTTTGTTCTGACTGCATCTTTGTAGTTGATGAAAGGCTGTCAATTTGTTGTTGGTGTTACATGGAGCAGTACGTATTCTTTAGATACACCTGAGGAAAGTTTGGTGTGTAGTGCTTGTGCAAATATGTGTGCATTTAGACCTTGTGGAAGATGGAGTGTCTTTTGGTGATTATTGAAAGGGATAGAAATTTTTTCAGTCTTTCACATCCAACTTGCAAGAAATGCTGTATACAAGTTGTAACTTGTGATACTGGAGAAAGTGCCACTTTGCAGAACTAAAAGGAAGCATCAGTCAGATCTTCTTTTGACACTCACTGTGGATGTTAATGGGCTGTGGCCATACAGAACTTGAAAATTCTTTTAAATGCATTCATCCGTATGAACACTTGAAATTAGCACTTGCCAGTGCTGTTTATGGAGTCTGCCAGCCTTGTTACGTTGATTAAGATGGCAGAGGTAGGATGTCACGTTATTACGATGGTGGAAATGGCCAGCATGTTATCTGAAAGGAAGGAAAGAGCCACCTGAGAAAGTCCTCATCTTTTGTTCCCACCAGGGTACCCTCTGCTTCAGCGCTTGGCTGTGTTGTGATAGCGTGTCACCTTTATTTCCCATCCATTAACCAGCCCAATTGCTTTCAACTGTACAGATTCCAGAGCTGTTGATGTCTAGGATGCATTTTATAAACCCACGTGTTCCCAGTTTACAAGAAGGAACCAAACAAGCAATGGCTGTGGAGAGCTCTCTGCTGTGGGTTCAGTAAGAAATAGGTGCTGTGGCACAGTGACAGGAGCAGGCAGGCTCCTGGTACTGAGTCTATTTATCCTTAACAATGACTAACACCTTAAAAATGAAAAATAAATAATCATGATTGCAATAAAGTAAATCTGTAGTGCTTTAGCCAGGGCATTACTGGATTTCTGGTTTTTAATTTTTTGTCTCAAAAGCCTATTCACTTTTCCTTGCAACCATTGGAGAATAAACAGAGACTGGGCAGAACACTCATGAGGATGTCCAAGTGTGTTTGGAAGAGTTCATAACTAATATTGTTGCAAGCAGCATCCGGATCTGGAAAAAAATATGCAAATGTGGTTATTTTGTTTCCTTTGTGTCTTTACCAGGTGGATGTATATCCTGGTGGTGCTGTTTCCTAGTAAAAGTGGTTGGTTGGTTTGTGTTTTTTCAATCTTTATGAGGAAGAGAAGGGGAGGCCTTGTGCTTAGGAGCTGAAGAAGGAAATGTGCTGCATCGCAGTTAGAACACAAACAGGGCATGCCTGGCAGCTGGGCTGCAGTGGTAAATGCCACACTTTAATTTATTTAAAAAGTAGGTAATAACTGGAATAAATTGAAGCCCGCACAAAAAAAAAAAAAAGGACCCAAACCACTGCAATACTCCACAACATCTGGGAAATCAAATGATTCTGTTTTGTGTCTTCTGGGGAAAAAGGTTGGTGTTTAGAGGGAGGGAGTTTATCCGAATAACGTAGTTTTTGACAGAAACAGGACACTGAACTCTGCAGTCCAAAGATCATTCAGTTAATGTCTTACATAGAAGTTTTTTCTCTGTACTTCAGCTTTGTTCTGTTATGCATAATTTGTGGTTTTTTGGTTTTTTGTTCTTATGTTTTCTAGCTGTATTTGATGGGACAGTGCTTCATTAGTCATAGTGCTCTCTGTTGTAGGTATTTATGCAGCAAGCTGATGCTGGCTTTACACTGGATAGATAACAAGGAGTTTCATCTAATGTTCTTCTGAAATGTCTTTTAAGGGTTGTGTTTTTTCACATTGATTTTTCTTGAAAGTCACTTGGATCCAATGTTCCTTGAATGTTTTCTGATGAGATCATTAACCACAAGAACAATTGGAGATGACAATTTGTTTCAGACACTTGGTGGGGGCCCATAACAGTTAGTAATTGTGCTGTGCTTATTTGTATTAAAAAAATCAGGCAAAATCCAAAAGGCCATAATCATGCTTTTTCTGTATTTGACACAGTTAATGAAACTTCCACACTGCTCCTACATTGATGTGAATCAAAACACAGATTTTAAATTTACATCCTGGTATCTGCAGCTTCTGGATAGTGTGTAGCTGGAAAACTGCCTTCCCACTGCACTCTGCTAACCCCCCAGAAAGAGAAGTGTGGCTAATAGAAGAGCTCCTATTGCATCTAGTTATTCTTTGAACCAAGCAAAATGAGTAAGCAGGAATTTGCTGACACTTGGCAACGCGCGATAGAATGTCTGTTCTGTGCATTGCAGTAGAGATGACTTTTACTGGTGAGGGATGATTACAAGCTTTTCTGATCTTACGGAGTGAATCTGGTTTGTCCTAAGGCTTCTGCTCCTGGCTGTGTGATGAGGGAGGAAAGGACAGGCTTCCTGCGAGATGAAGTGTAGCTGCACTGATGTAGTCCTGAATCCTTTCGGAGCAGAAGGGTACAACCAAGGTCACAGTAAGCAGTGTGTCTTGGAAGGCAGAAAATCCAGAGTGGGTGGGTTGTGTTTTGTAGGGTTCCTGCAGTGACCGATCGGTGTGACTGCACAAAGGCTGAATTCCTTTATCCTGCTGTGCTCTTGGGCATCAGAAATGAAACATGTATGGGAAAAACAAGCATGATTTCCTTGTGCGTTCACATAGAGCCATTGTGATCTGGTTGGACTGGTGCATTCAGTGGGACATGTCTGAATACTGCTTGAATTCAATCATATCTGTCTATCGCTCCCCTCTTTAAATCCTCCAAGTGAAGGAGAATCATCATCATGCCATGAGCTTTAGTCCAATGATTATTACTCTTTATTTTAATACATACCTTATCTGTAGTCTTACCAGAGCCAAAACATCTTGCAGTTATGTCTTTGGTTTGCAGCTCCCCACCTTGCTTACCATTCTTCAGAGTCTTACCATTTAGTTTGCTCTTTGTTTTGCTTTTTTTCTCCTTGAATCTCTATGTGGTTTTCTAGGCTTGGCTCGCCTATTTTCTTTTTTCATTGTCCTTGTTGAACCTTAGATACTGAAACTCGTAACACAGACAATGAGGTAATACCACGAAAAAAAGTGTCCAACTACTGCTGAAACAGTAATTCTTGTTTCCACTTAATTTTGTCTGCACTGGTTGAACTTCAGTCAAAGCAAACTACATAGAAAACCCTCCAGTGCAGGGTTCTGTGTGGAATCACACAGAAAATCAGAAAAAAATCCTACATTGCTGGTGTGATACAGGAAGAGCAGTGAGTGAAAGTGTGAAGCATGCTGTGCTTGTGGAGCATAAGCTCCCAATGTTATCAGTTAAATTAGGCTTATTCAGTGCAGGCTTTTGGGTTGTTTGTTTATATTGCTTGAGACTCTTTAGGATGCGCTTCCTGACTGGAAGCATGGTTTTCAAAAAGAGCTGAGAAGTTTGATTTATTTTTTTAAAGCCCCAAACAATATCAGGGTGGAATTGGTCTCATCCAGAAGCCTCATAGATGGTTTTGAAATAGATTTGTAAGAGATGAAAGTACCCAGATTTATAACAGATTATTTTCTAAGCTTGTCCCCCAGCTGTCCCCAGGCCTTTTCAAGAGTCGTTTCTCAATGGGTTGATTCAGGGCACTGACTTCAAAAGACTTTTTTTCCTTCTGTGTTAAGCAGAGAAGGGAGGCGGTGGTTGCAGCCAAACTTATTTTCTAAATACAGATTTTGTTGTTTAAATATGCAATCCTCCCTAAATTCAGCATAGTAGTCCATGTTATATTATTGGGCATTGCTAATCATGCTAGGGGGGCTCCTTGGGACTTCTTGCAGCTTTAATTCTTACTGTAATGTCCTTTCTTGTTTTTCAGGCTTCTTCCAAACTGGAGCAATAGGAGCTTTTTTTTTTTTTTTTTTTTCTTTCTTTCGTTGAAAGCACTGCAATTCTTATGGTCCTTTTACAACTGCTTAGAGTTAATCTTTATTATGAAGAGGCTTAGAAAAAGTAATTGCTCCTACATTTGTGCACAGTGGAGAATGCTGGTGATTTAAAAAAAAAAAAAAAAAAAAAAAAAGCCACTTTCTCAGTGGTTGGATGTCTCTGCCTTTGTTTCTAAGGGTTTGCTAAGAATCAGAGCTCAACCTACTGAGAGAGAGCTCTGGCAAGAACTCACAGATAACTATATATGCATGATGATATGACAGTAGATAAGTAACAAGCTACTGTTATCAATATGTTTAACTGGAGACACCTCTATGCATTTTCAGAATGCTTAGGAGAAAGTTCTGTAAGTCACTGTTAGCCTTAGCTCCTGAAGGACGTCATGGTGGCTTTGCCACAGCTGTACAGAGCAGTTGGACTGTGTAATAGCAAGCCAGCACATGAGATGTGCTCCGATGTTCGTGTCTTCAGTGACAGGCTTAATGTCAGTTTGAGCAGTGTAAGCTGGAAGTCATATGTATGTTCTTATGTGTCTTTCTGTAGTTAAAAAAAAAAATCATTGATAACCTTCAAGTAGATCAAGTTTGTGTCCGAAAAAAAACCTCCTTCCTTCTTAAGAGCAGAGTAGTTTTTCAGGAATCCAAACCTCTGCCTTTCTTGTTGGGGCCTGTTTTTCTTGAATCACTCTTTTGTTTTGTTTTTCGTGTTATGTAGCAAGGCTTGTGGTCAAGAATTCTGTCTCTGGAGCTTTAACAAGAGAATCATTTCTTCCGTACTTGCAACTGCTTCTCAATGAGCAAATAAGAGTTACTGAACCTTCTGGAATTGCTTCACAGTTTGACGTAGTCTCACTATTTCCACGTCCAATTCTGTTTGAAACTATAGCTGTAACAGCTATAACAGTTTGAAGAGACTTCAGGCAGAGTTAGTTCCTCAAATGCTTGCCAGCATGTCGAGGGAAGGGGTGAGTGGTGTGGTAAATGTTCTGAGGATGCTGTATTTCTGGTTATACCAGGAAAAAACTAGATGGGCTGAGCTGGGGAGTGGTGTGTGAGGAGCGGGTCTGGACCTTTGGACCCAAAATCAGAGATGTGTGAAAGATGAGGGTGTGGTTTGGGGCATCCCCTGTTCCCCCTCACTGCCACGGTGTTTTCAGTGGGGAAAAACTCTCCAGCTCTGATTTGTTTCGAGTACAGGGCCATGGCTCTGCTTTATCTGAGGAACAACTTTTCATGTAGATACTGTTTAAGACTTCCTTTTTTATTTTTATTTTTTCCAGTGAAATAGTTGGCTAAAAGGAAAACATTCATTTCTAGCAATTGACGTTTTTAGGTTAAAGAACTTTTGAAGTTTTTTTTTTGTAGGTTCTGTTAAAATAACTAACTCGTGCTGCAGAAACATTGTCACATGTTTCATAAAGAGCTCTGACTAAAAGGAAATTTCTGGCTGGCAATGTTTTATGTGCTTGATTGGAGTGCTCATTGACCTGCCTCCTGGGCTTGTGGTTAAAATGATGCTCCAGATAAATGGTACTTTTCAATAAAGGTATTGAAAGAAATGATTAGAACTCAAAAACTGAAGTTTTTATTTAATCAGTGTTTGTACCTGAGCATTCTATCTGTAAGTAACTCCTCTCTCATCTTTTGCTTGCATGGTGAGAGTGGCTGACTCCTCATTTCAGAGTTTCTCGTAGCTCTAAACCCTGCTCAAATAGCCTGGAGTGCCTTGCTGCTGGTAGCAGTGCTCTGGTCTTGGACAGTTTGTGTTGGAATGTTGTGGCATTGATTTTCTAAATAACTGTTAGAGTGCATTACCTGCACGCTTGTGATGGTGTGAAGTGTGAGTGCACACCTGTGTGTGTGCTGGTGAGCTGTAGTGCTCTGCCATCACACTGCAGGTTGGAGAAAGACAGAGATGGCTCTGGAATGGCGAGTGCTGTGAGAGGCAGCATCTGGGGAGACTTGAGATGGTTTTCCCTTCTCCTCATAGAGCTGCTGCCTTGCAAAAAAGGTTTTAAATAATAAAAATATGAAGGAATGCTGCCTGCAGTACCTGAAATAACAAATGCTTGTGCCACAACAGTCCTGATCTGCTGCAATCCTTGTGCTGCTGGCAGAGGCTGCTGCCAGCTGACTGGGGTGAGTGGACCGTGCTGCTTTCTGGCTGCACACCCTACTCTTTGCTATTTGTTGTTCAGGGACTTTGTGATGTCTGGATTTAACAGCCCCAGTGGATTTCTTTGCTGTGTATTTGCGCAGCCACTTCTGCACCTATGTAAATTCTCAGTATTTATAGCATAACGTAGCAGGGAGCTCTGCTGCTTAGCTGTGCTATGCACAAAGAACCGTCTCCATGGTTTGTTTTTTATGAACAAGCTAACTGATATATTTGCTTATCTGCAGATAGAAATTGGTTTCAGCATAAAACCAGGCATTGCTTTCAATAAATTGAGGAACGTTCCCATTTACTCAAGCAGGAATTGTTCATATAAGCCCAGGTATTAATGGGGTCAGGGCTCACGCTTGTGTTTAGCTCTGGGTATTGGTGAGTCATCCATTGCAGAACATGTGGGTTTGGGGTGGTTTTCTTGGATGTATAATTTCATTGCTTCAGTCTTTGTCCCAGACAGAGGCTGGAGTTTTGTAGGATGACAAGCAGTGTTTTGAATTTAGGCTTTGGCTTTGCTTTTCCACTTACAAATCACCTAGAATCTCTTCACGCAGCCCTGTGATAGATTCTCTTTAGTTAAAAAAAAAAAGCATCTGATCTGATATCAAAGAAGCCATTTGTTACAATTTTTATTAAATTTAGTAGTTTTTTTGTTTTGTCTTTGTTCTCTAGCTTAGGAATTGTGATGTTTTAATGATGCAGGTAGATGTAGTGAATGTCTGAAGAAAGGAGGAAGAAAAGAACGGATAAAAATAAATTGAAAGCAAATATGGAGCTCTTATAGTTTGTGTGTTTAAGTTCTGCCACTGAAGGTGTTCTCCTGTGTGGAGATAGTGAAACTATTTCTTTTTAATATTTACTCTTCCGTACTTTGAGCTCTAGAATTCATAAGTCATTCTAACTGGTGAACTAAATTTCCCAGGAGAGCACCAGGTCTTAAATTATTAAATATATTTGTATTTTTCTTTCAGCTTTACCAACAGGGCCGCTTATGCCAACTGGGGAGTGAATTCTGTGAACTAGAAGTTTTTGCAAAGGTGCTGCGAGCTTTAGATAAAAGGTAAGCACCTTCCTGTACTGACAGGCTCGTTTCAGCCCTGGGTTCTTGATCTAAGTTTTGAATCCAGAAGATGTCAGATCAGATTCTTTGTTACCAGGATAAGCTTTGTGCCTCTAGTATCTCCCTCCTTGTTTGTGTGTATGTGATGTTAATGGGTTTGTCACTGCTCATTTATCTGCCATTTTAGTGTGAGTCAGGGCAGGGGTGGGCTTTGAGGCTTCCCCACCCACAGAGTCTAAACAGAAAGCTTTGTTCTCCAGTTGTAGCAGTGTGTGGGCAGCTTGTATTTTGCTTATTCTGGAGGGTGTCCTTGTAAAGAACTGTTTGTATGCTCATTCTATTTTTTTGGGTAATCCAACAACTGTAACCCATTAGTCTTGAGAGTGTCAATTATGCTTGTGTTCGTCTGCTTTTTGTTTGAGAGAAGGCTGGAGTTATTTCCTTGAGTCGCTACTCGTTTGTATCCATGGTGCTCTGACTGCACTGTTGTAAAAACTTCATACGTAACAAGTTTTGTTTTCTTTTGTTTCAGACATCTGCTTCATCACTGTTTTCAGGCTTTGATGGACCATGGAGTAAAAGTTGCTTCTGTACTGGCCTATTCTTTCAGCAGACGATGTTCCTACATAGCAGAATCAGATTCTGCTGTAAAAGAAAAAGCAATCCAGATTGGCTTTGTTCTAGGTAACTGGTGTTCATAGACTGTTAAGTATATTTCTTTGTTAGTTCAGTTAGGCTAATGCTATTTTTTACCTCTTTGTAACTTCTTTTTGGGAATGTGTGTGCTTGGAGTCTGTGTTTTTAGGAAGTCACTTGATGGCTTATGTATATAATACAATTAAATACCTAAAAATTTTAGGCTGCTCTCTGCTATTTCAAGTATAAAATTTATAAGCATGATAGTTAATGTTAAGACTTTGTGTATTTCTACTATTGATGCAAGTATTTCATGATGAAAAACTATGGAATACCAGAAGTCATGCTCAGCTGAAGGAGAGTTCTTCTGCTCATGTTTCACGTTCAGGACTGCAGGGTTAGCTCTGATAGAACTCCTGTATGCAGCATGCAATTTCATGGTGCTTTGTAAAACACGTTTCCTTTGCTCTCGCTGCCTACGTTCCCCCTAAGCTGTTAGCAATGACTTCCTGTATTTTGGCATAGGGAATACTGCACTCCTGTATTCCTACTTATTCGTAATAAAATAAGAGCTCTTAGATGATCTGAGCGAATGCTTTTTCCTAGAAAGGCACTGTTCAAAACTCTGTTTGTTCTTGATTTTTCCAGGAGGGTTCCTATCAGATGCAGGATGGTACAGTGATGCAGAGAAGGTATTTCTTTCCTGCCTTCAGCTGTGCACCCTTCACGATGAAATACTTCATTGGTTTCGTGCAGTAGAGTGTTGTGTAAGGTGAGCTTACCTTTAATTCCCACGTGTCTTACTGAGAAGTATTTATTCACATGTACCACTAATAAGAGCCAAGAAGCTTCAGATGCTCTCTTCAGAATTCTGCTGCACCGCTTGCTTTTGTTCCAGAAACAAGGTGATGCTATGAGAGGCTGGACGTGTATGTGCACCTTCCTGGGATAGAAAAATGCTAGCTGTAGTGCTGCTGTCAGCACTTGATCCTTTGACTTATAATTAATCCAAAAAATTGTCTAATTGTTTGGCATGCTGAAGAAGCTGCCTTAAAAATAAACTCACCTTCTCCAAATACAGAAAAGGAAAGGAGATTATAGGAAACAGGTTTGGAAAAGAGAATCACTGATGAGAGATCTTAATTGTTCTCTCCTTCCTTTATTAGTTTATAGGAAGACCTGTCATAATGTATCATGCAAGGTATAAAATGTTGCACCTATACGTTAGCTCATATTTTCAGAATTTTAGCATCTCTTTACTGTAAAGTATTGTGTTCTGATTTGCTTTACTTTGTGGGTTTTTTTTCCTGTGTTATGTTGTCTTCTTGACTTATAAGGGCTTCCCTGATGTTTTCCAATCTCTATTACTCATTGTCTAATAACAGATCTCCAGAAGGGACAATGAAAGTTAGTTTACCAAAATTTCATCTGTGCTAAATGGCAGGCATTTGCAATAGGAAAGGAACAGCTGTCTCTTTTCTTTGCCTGCAATGGAGCAGGAATACAATTCTGCCCTTTAGGCTTGGAATGTGATGGCACTCACATTTTGAATGCATCTCTTTAAAGTAAATAAGCATCAGTTTTCAATAACAAAAATCTCTACTTCTGTTCTAAACAGAAGCCAGAAGCTGAAATAGTTGCTTGTTTGGAGAAACAGTGTGCGCTTCAATGCTGCTTTCTTGTCTGTATTTCACCATTTACTGAAGCTTCTGTGAATCTTTCAGATGGGAAAAGAGGTGGTGATAAGAAATGGGGGAGCGGGAGAAAAGGAGGCTGTCTAGAGTTGTTGTGAACTGTGATGACTGCATTGTCTTGTGTTAATTCAGTACTGAGTATCAAAGGATCAAAACTTTCAAAACTGTAAATCCAGAATGGGTTGTCAGGCTGGCACTAGATCAATCTGAGCAGATATGCTTGCTGATTCCTTTGAAGGTGGCCTTCTTACTACTTGTATTCCTGTTGGACAACACTAAAATTACTGTTGTTAAGTGCTATTGCTCTTCCTTTAATCCAAAATTTCCCTGCTAGTGTTACTAATCTATGAACACTTAGGTGTGTATGTTTTCTTCTAGCATTTAAAGGTTGTCAATCCAAGAAACTATTATGACAGCTAACGATTAGCTGTCCTGCTGTTCCTGAGCTTAAAGTTGCTTGTGCTGTTGCCTCAGAGTGAACTCTACTATGTAAATAATATTGAATGCATTTCAAAATATCCCTGTTCAGCCCCGTTTATGAATTGTGCCTGGGTGCTAATGCCATCCTGCTGTGTTGTCCCACCTTTCTGGCGGCCCAGAGAGTGACGTTAGTTCCAGATGCTTTCTCATGTAGAATGGATGCAATTGAATCTCTTGTAAAATTATTGATGATACATTGTGCTGTTTAAGGACTGAGGACAAAATGCAGAGATGCGCGCAGAAGAGTTTGTACTTTTTGTCAGTTTCAGTTTACCATGTTTTGGAAAGGAGGTAGAAGGGATTTAATGCCATATGTTACTGAGTTTGGGAAATGAGATTTTATCAGTGTTGAGAATGGACTTCAGGAAAAATAAAACAAAGCCACACACACCAAAGTGGTTTGGGCATTGGATGTGCAGAACTTCATCAACGTGAAAAAATCATTTGGCATTTCCAATAGGAGAAATTCTTGCCATGCAAGATGCATGGAATACTGTAACAAATTTCTATGAACAATTCCTTTGTATTACTGAATTCAGACAGTGCAGTTTTGCTGGGCTGGTACCTGGTCCTCTAAGTACCACACCAGATTGTAGATCAATGATGCTGCAGCGTGACGAAATGTTTTATTCAAACACTGATTAGAAGATCTCTTTACATCTTTGCAAGGTTGCTTCATGTTCGAAATGGTAACTGTAAATATCACCTGGGAGAAGAAACGTTCAAACTGGCTCAGTCTTACATGGATAAACTTGCCAAACATGGTCAGCAAGCAAACAAGGCAGCACTCTATGGGGAACTGTGTGCACTGCTTTTTGCCAAGAGTCACTATGATGAGGTGAGTAGGGCTAGTTTCTTTCTGTTCAGCTTCTGGACGCTGGTTATGAAATCTGTGAGGACTCTCCATGACTGCCTCACTATTCACGTTGTCTTTCTAGATATCTGTGTGGCAGTACCAGAGGTATACCTGATTTACCATCTGGTTTCTGTATATTGTTCTGAGTACAAACTCTTAATAGTACTTGAACTGATATTAAGAAATTATATGCAATAGATTGCCTGTGTATTTTGGTTATCAGTAAATTATGCATTACAAAGAGTTTATTTTAATAGGTAAAAAGAAATTGGAGAACATAACTCTTTGCAACTACTTTAGAAAAAAGGTCACTTCAGTGTGACTGCAGTTTTTAGCTCCTAAATTCATTGACTAGGAAGCTGCTGTCTATGATAGTGATTGTAAGGATTAGTTAAACATTATAAAAGAACCTTTTCCTGTGAAATACATTACATTCATTTAATTATACAGACCTTAGTGTAATACTAAATACTGCGCATTCAGTATCAAGTTGAAGAGAAGTTCTTCAGGTTTGTCAGACCATGGCAACCAGTGTTATTTAAATCTGCCAATGTAAATGACTGGTGTATATTTTTCTTAATGTTGCAACACAGTGATGTTGAATTATCGTGTTGGTTAACTTTGTTTGACAGGCTTACAAGTGGTGTATAGAAGCTATGAAGGAGATCACAGTTGGCCTGCCTGTAAAAGTAGTAGTGGATGTTTTGCGACAAGCTTCTAAGGTAAATTTAGACTCTTCCACATTCCTTTTTTAAACTGCTACCAAGGATGGGTGAGAATGTGTAATACCTCTGCTATACTTCACGTGTCTCCGGTGTATTTTCTTCCTTTCCCTGTGAAACAATTATAGCTGTTCAAAGGGACGTGATGGCAGAGTTAACTTGGAGCCTTCCACAAAAAGATGGACTGTTTCTATCTTTGATGTAGACTCAGATACAACACTAATCTTTTTGGTGATTTATGTCAGAGTAAAATATTTATTGATGCTTTCTGTGAGCATTTGTTAAATAAGTCCCTTAGTGACAGCGGTGATATTAGAATTAAAAGTAATAGAAATTGGGCTGATATCTCAAGGGGAAGGATTTTGAGTGTGCACCTCTTCACATGCTTCATTTCAACCTGTTTAGGCTTGTGTTGTAAAACGTGAGTTTAAGAAGGCTGAGCAGCTGATAAAACACGCAGTGTATCTCGCCCGGTGAGTACTATTCCAAAAAGCCCTCTTGAAATGTACTCTTAACCTGCCTCAATGAGTAATATAAGCATGTTTCTACAGGGAGCATTTTGGAGCCAAGCACCCCAAATATTCTGATACACTACTAGACTACGGATTTTATTTGCTCAACGTAGACAATATATGCCAATCTGTTGCCATCTATCAGGTATGCAGCAGGGCTAAATGCATTTGGTTTCTATTAATAAATAAAAGGTCTCTATTTCTTCTGAAACTCACATGTTTTTAATTCAGGATAATTAGTTCATTTAATTACTGCACTGTTTGTTGACTTCAGATTTTTGCTTTCATTTTTTTCTTCGCCCTTGAGTGATTTCTTTAGGCTTGCTGTCTAAAGTATGTGGGTGTAGACCTGAATTTCAGAGCCATCAGACTTTTTTTTTTTTCCCTGTTAGCAGTAAGATGCATAAGGTTGTTGTTTTCCCCCCCGTGTTAACTGACATCATGGTGCTCTTGTGACTCTTTCAGACAGCTCTTGATATTCGGCAGTCGGTATTTGGAGGTAAAAACATACACGTAGCTACAGCTCATGAAGATTTGGCTTACTCTTCTTATGTTCACCAGTACAGCTCTGGAAAATTTGACAATGCACTGTGAGTACAGCTATTTGAGGTAATGGCAGTAAATCTAATACTGCAAATGGGGGGAAAGAATGTTTTTTAATTTATACAGATTTTTCTAACAAGAACATTAATACAGTGAACATCTACATTTATCTTGTTAATACTTTACCAGTTAGCTGGTAATTGAAATAGCAATGAGGATGCATGTGTTTAAACTCTTTCAGATTCCATGCTGAACGTGCTATTGGCATTATAACTCACATTCTCCCAGAAGACCATCTTCTCTTGGCATCTTCAAAGAGAGTTAAAGGTAGTATCCTGAATTGCATTACTGGAACAGTTTAATATTTTGTCAATGGAGAGCAGGCATTCAGTTGTATTTATTCTGTTCCCAACAGAGGCAACGTAAGCTTTTTCCCAACTGGAAATGGCTTGAGAATATTCCCTGTAGTTCTCCAATGTTATTTGTCAACATGCTTGTAAAATACAAATTTAAAATTCTTTAAAGCTTTGTTGAACTCATTCTTGAATTAATAGTAGTAAAAATACAGAATATAAAAAAGTGTTGGTAACTTTGATACCTAGTTGTGAAGTTTGAAAGCAGTTTGTAAGAAATCTAAATCCTGATTTAAATATCTCCTGACACTTCTTGGGTGGATGGCTTTCTGCAGCTGGTAGTTGGTGTGTCTGTGTCTGGAACACAGTGATGTTGCTTTTCTTCTTCTTATACTCAGCACTTATCCTGGAGGAGATTGCAATAGACTGTCATAACAAGGAAACTGAGCAGAGGTTACTTCAAGAAGCTCATGACTTGCATCTGTCCTCACTTCAGTTAGCTAAAAAAGCCTTTGGGGAGTTTAATGTACAAACAGCAAAGCATTATGGCAACCTTGGAAGACTGTATCAGTCCATGAGAAAGTTTAAGGTAAGATCTACTAAGGTAAATCTCTTGACACACAATTTACAAGATGTCTGTAAATATGTCAAAGCAAATTGTACTTTATGTCCCCAGTTCATAACCTCAGTTGGGAGTTTCGTTCCATTTTAATATTTCACCCATTCAAAGCTTTGCACGGAAATAATTAAGATGCCTCTGGGGACAGGATGCAAAGTGATACTACTTGCTGATGATCCAAAATAAGAATTTGGAGAACTTAGTCTGGTTCTGGCCTTCTTATCTTTTATTTTTTTTTGTCCTTTGTGAAATGCTTGACTACTTAATCACTGCATAGTTGTTTCTTAAAGTGTTTATGGTGTGGTGAGTGGTGCCTGACCCATATGAATTTGTTCCTCGCAGGAAGCAGAGGAAATGCACATTAAGGCAATTCAGATTAAGGAGCAGCTCCTGGGTCAGGAGGATTATGAAGTTGCACTGTCAGTGGGACATCTAGCTTCTCTCTATAACTACGATATGAATCAGTATGAAAATGCTGAGAAGCTTTATTTGAGATCCATAGCAATTGGTAGGTGATTCTTACAGTGTTTATTTACATAGCAGCTGTAATACAAAAAAAAAAAAAAAGCTTTTTGAAATGTTTAACATTTTATTGAATAACTAAAAATGAAATGCAGTATTTCTGGTTTTTTTGCATGGCTTCAATCTAAGTATTGAATTTTAATTTTGTTATCTCTTGTCTTTCTTTAGGAAAGAAGCTTTTTGGTGAAGGATACAGTGGACTTGAATATGATTACAGAGGTCTCATTAAACTGTACAATTCCATTGGCAATTATGAGAAAGTTTTTGAGTACCACAATATTTTGGCCAACTGGAACCGGTTGCGGGATCGGCAGTTCTCAGTCACAGATGCTCTGGAGGATGTAAGCAGCAGTCCTCAATCCACTGAAGAAGTGGTCCAGTCTTTTCTGATGTCTCAGAACGTTGATGGACAGAGTAGCTAAGAACTTGGTCAATTAATCAGTTAAGTTTTTTCCCAGATTACAGGGGAGAAGTCATACTGTGAAATCTAAACCATGTAGTTCTCTGGGGGCTGGAATTTGCATTGAAACACTGGTCCAGTCTACTGAAGAGTGCCCATACGGATGAATGTGTGTTAAATTCTTATCAGCATGTGTATGGCATGTTTAGTTCGGCTCACGTTTTTAACTTGGTATTCCAGAAAACCCTTTTTTTTTTTTTTTTTTTTCTTTCTCCAAAAGAACCTACTTTGCAGAAAGTCTGCAAGAGAACATTAAATAAAACTGTTTGAGTTCAAAAGAGTTGCATTCTTATTATGAATGGAAGGTTTCATCAAGAGCTTTCTTCCGATAGACAGAATAAATGCTATACTACAAGAAATTATACGAGAGAGGTCTCTCTAGTTCATGCATTTGTAGCAGAGTTAATCACAAATACTAAGAAAAGGAAGGATGCTTTGGCTGCTGCCTGATGAAGAAAAGTGGCAAAGAATCACTTCGGAGAGCAACATACCATTTGTAATCCACAGTAATTTGATAAGGAAGTACAGACCGTATGTTGTTTTTGATACCCTGAACTGGACCAGTGTTTGTCTGTAAGTGATGGAAGATCCAGTAGACCAGCAACCTTAGTTTTCTTTGGTACCAGCCAAGAGTGCTAATCTTCATAACAGGACCAGGAAAATCAAAAGTGGACCAGCCTGCTAGAAACAGTTTTTGGACCAGTGGCTTTAATTTAATATTTCTGCCCCTGCATTCACTTCTACAGTAGAGTGATTTCATTTAGATGTATGATCAGTGCAAAATTATATTCCTGTAATAGATACAAAACTAGGAAGTGAACGTTCTTTAGCAGTTGCGATGGCATGTTTTACTTAGCAAGCTTATACAGATGTTAATGTCAATGCCACACGCAGAAACTAGAAATGCTTAACTATTTGCTGCAGCCATCTTCTTTTCTATTATTTTTTTTTATGGGCTTACTCTGATAATTGAGGCAGTACCTTGTTTATACCAGTTAATGGTTTTGTATTACAATCCAGGTCAATTTTATGTTTCTGGAGAACACAACTTATTGTACAGTTTGCAGGGGTCAGTGGAAAATGCCAAAAAGCACAACAGGTCTTTTTTTTGTGTGATGCTTCATTTCTACATTAAACAATAGTACAACCAGAAATGGATTTCCTTTATATTAATTTAAAAAGCAGAAATCAGCTGTAAACATCCTTTAATAATGCCTATCTCACTAGCTTGTCTTAATTTTTCTTCTGTTGGGGGCGGGGGGCTGCTTTGCTGTGTAGATTTATTTATTTTTTGCTTGAGTGTGTTTTTACTTCTTAAAATGTTGAGGTAATGCTCCTTTGAAAGTGTAACATAGCAAACTAGAAACAACTCGCTGCTGTTACCTCCGTTCTTATTATAGTGGCGCAAACAGTGCCCTGTGGTTGGGTTCTGTCTCTTGGGTTTTCTCCACCCCCCCTATTTTCAGGGGTTTGTAACTTGGCCGTGGAAGTTCAGTCCAAGGTGGGGCTCAGCAAGCAAGGTTCCTACAGGACTTGGACTGGATGTTTTGTTTAGGGTTTGTTTTCTCTTAAATAGTTTGTAAAGCTTGGGACAGGGAAAGCTGCTTGGTGGTATTCAAGAAAGAGTGCACAGAAGAAATAAGAAATTTCAGACACTGCTTTGAGCTTAATGACTCCTTTAAGAACTGAAATTTTCCAGGCCAATAGTTCATATACCGGTGCCTTCAAGTGTAATTTTGGGGGAAAAGGCTGAATAATACCGACTTGAATATGCAGCAATATGAGTGCAGCTTTAATGACTGCATACCTAAATACTTTAATGAAAGGATTCCGCATTTAAAAACAACAAACTGTGGTATTAAGGCTTACGTTGCAGTGTACCCTCAAAGGCTGTTCAATGAAAATTCAACTTAAAATGATGTATGGATTTAACATCTACTTCATAGCAATTTTTCTTGCTTAGGAGTGCTTTAGGTGAAACATTTCCATTTCTGACTAGCATCTATTAGGGGAGTGATTGATTATAGAGTTCTCATGAATTCTTTTCTTCAGTCCTATTAAAATTACTTAAATGAAATTTGTAATGTTAGTACCAGAATTTGGGCAGGGGGACGCTGCTTAAAATTGGCCTCAACAGGCTGTGTTACTCCTGTAACACAGAAGGGTTTGACAGCTTCAGAACAGGCACTGACTTGCATTTATGATGTCTGTTTGTGAATGGCTCCCAGTCAAGCCTCTGCTTCCAGCTTCTGGCTAACAAAACTCAAAGGTCTCAAGATTTTGAGTTGGGGAGTGTTATTTGACTGACACTGGCACAAGCAGTCCATGAGAACCATTGCTGTCACATCAGCTCTCTGGTTTCTGTGTGTTTCAAGGGCTGCTTTCAATCTGTGGCGAGTAGGAGAGCTTCCAACATGGGGCAGGTTAGGAAGTTGTTTGCTTCTGAGAACCAAAATCACCTGTTCTGTTTCTGTGATGGGTTGCTTTATTCTGTTTTCTCAGGCCTGCTGTGTGGATGAGCTTTTCTTTCTTTCCTCAAGCTACTTCCCTAGCATGTTGTGTACCTTGACGTATCGGCTTGTCTAGAAGGGATTCACATCCTGAAAGTCACCCTGAGTTCTTTTTGTTGGATTTTGGCCAAGAAATGTGACTTGGGCATGAGCATCTGTTGTGATCCTTGTGGAACTGCTAGCATGCTTTCCGTGTGACTAAATCCTGACTTGGCTGTTGGGCTGAACTTCTCACTGCAGCCCTTCGGCAATTCCGCTTGTGCCAAGGCACCACGTTTTGGAGAAAGGTGGCTGTGGCTAACTGCTAATGCTGTCAAACAGGAGCTTTGCAGGGCGACTTTGCAGCTGCCTACGAAATGCTTTGTAACCTGCTCTGCACGCCATAACTTGGAACATCCGCTGTCCTTGCTGCAGGTGGAGTTTCCATGCGATAATGTAGAACTGGCCTTTCTAGTTGTCCATTCTGTCTCTCTGATCTTGTTTTTGGAAGAAATTGGCTGTCTGTATTGGCATGTGGGGACAACATCTAGGACCTGTTGTTACTGTCTGTGCTGTTGTTTGGTATCCCTGAGAAAGTAGAAATCCAGTTGGATGGCTACAGAAGGTAAATGACTTGCTCAGCTGTAAGGGTGGAAACACCTGCAATGTCGTTGAGGCAGATTTCTATGTATTCATTTAATTTTATTTCATGACCAGCACAGGTAGAGCTAAAGGAACAGAGTGCTACCTACTACGTTCTCTGTACAGTGCAGCTTTTCAGCACAGAACTTGCCAACAGAGACCCTGCACCTCCCTCCTGTCAGGTGTGGAACCAAGGAGTTCCTGTCCTATTTTAGCCCTAAAACAAGCTTTCCAAAACAAGCTTTCCACATGCATCTGGGTGTAAGTTCTGGGGAAGGAGGCTTTATAGTTAGCCTTGCTTGTTAGGAGACCTTGTCCTTGCTGTAATGCAATTAGCCAACTTCAAAACGCTTGATGACTTTGATTAACCATTGGCATTTTATATACGCGCAATGCACCTTCTTCTAGGTGAGATGGTGTTACTTGGTGCTGGTGTTAAAAAGAGGAGGTCTGGGGCTGGGGCTCTGAAATGCATCTTCAGAATATTTCTTGACGGTAAGTAATCACAGTGATTGGTTACAAGTGGTGAGGAGAGGTGTCCCTTCATAGAAAATTACTTTAACTATTGTTTAAGCCCTCATGATTTTCACCATAAAGCTTCTGAAATCAGTTATTTGTCTTTTGTTTTAATTGAACACTGCAATTTGTAGAAAGGAAAGAAGGCAATGTCAGGCTTCTTCCACTGTTTCTGGGACATGGGCTATTCTGGATGACTTCTTGTGGAAAAGGAGAGGCAAGCAAAGCTTAAGAACTGACAAAATGGGACGGGGAAAATTGCAGAAAGATGTTTTCAAACCAGTCTATCCCTCGGTTACTTGAAGTAAAACACCTAGTGACTATTTGGCCCCAACAGTGGTTTGGTTGCTTTTACAGCATGCTGTTATGACCAACGAGTGTCTGCCTCTGAATCTTAGTCTTCATGAGCGCTCTTTACAAACCTTGTAGTTGAAAACTTTTTTTTTTTTTTTTTGCACATAAAGTTTTTTTGTTGAAGACTTTTGAAGGTCTTTTAGTTGCTGGATTCCAACTTATTGGGACAACAGTGTTCTTTTGTAAAAATGAAGTGTTTTTTTCTTTAAATGTGCTGCAGTCTGATATTTGCTAACGGTGCCATTGCGCTGCTCCTCATGGTACAAGAAATGCACGTTGAACTTCTTTCCTTTTATTGTTGTGTACTGGTAGAGTACAAAAAGGAAAACGCGTTGTGCCTAAAACATGAGTGAAGCTGTGGACAAAACCTTGGTTTGTGCAGATGGGATTTGACTTCCCAGGTAGCAGCAAATAACGCGGGGGAAATGCTGCTGTTACCAGGTTGTAACGAAGCTTGTGCAGAAGCTTGATTTTCTCTAAAGCTCATTGTTTCCCTTTTTTCCTTATTGTTTCTATAATAAGAAGGTGACTGGCCAAATGTTAACTGCGGATCTGACTGTTTGTTGTGGGTGTTTCCATGTTGGACGTGTATGGCCTGTTGCACGGTTTGTTTCTTGGCCTTTTGAGGATTCTGTGAGAAGCAGGGAAGAAATTTCCTTTATCCAGACATCAACCAAACTGCTTACAAAGAAATTGACAGCACTGGTAATGCTTCTGTCCCTAAATCTCAGGAATGTTTCGGGCAGTGAAACAGGTTTCCCTTTGGTGATATAAAGGTGCGTGCTCTAGGGTCTTGTTTAACAATATTTCATTGCAATCCTAGGTATCTATAGCATGAGTGGCCTTAGTGAGTTTGTTGAAGTGCACATTTTTTTTTTTTCAAAAGTAAATTTTAAGATGAAAAAGATATATACTATATAAATATATAGAGATATTTAGAAACTTGGTTTGTGGTGCACAAGTTCAGTGTTGGATCACTAAATAATTGTCGCAGGTACCATACGTGTAACTTTTCTTTGATGTATTTTCCTTCATGGGAAGCGATGTTGCCATGGTAACTAGGACTTCACAATTTCTTTACTACTTAACGATGTGAACGAACTCTACGTTTTATTGAACATTACCAGGTTCAGTACTATTTTTATACTTGTTGAACTACAGGGAGTTTTAATTTAATAGCATTCTAAAAAAGATGTTGCTTGAACTGTATAACTGTATAAATCAAACTGCTTACACAGACGACACCTCTAAACCAGAATCTCTACCTGTAGTGCCACAGTCATTTATATGAAGTTATCTTGATCATGACTAGACTTGGAAGACCACCCTACTTGTGTCAAGACTTAATGTTTCGTATCCTACTTCTCACAGACTGCAGTGCCCGACATTATTTGTAACCATCAAACCATATTATGTTTGTAACCAGCATTGTGATATTCTGTAATTGTATTGCTAAAATGAAATATCGACCTAATAAATATAGTGTTCCTGCATTTGGAAGCATCTGCGTTGAATTTGGTTCCAACTTTTGCTTCTGGTGAATACCTGTCCCTTTCTTCCCTGCTCTCCCTTGCTGTGTCATAACCAATGCGAAGTGGGAGTTGAGCTGCGGAGCGAGGGAACACAGGAGAGCAGCTGCCTTGTTCTAAATGTGCCCTCTGGGATGCCTGTGCCGATGCTTGCACAGCCAGCAGCGGGGCTGTTTGTGTTTCCTCTGAGCTGTTCACCATTACGCTGTTCTTCCACAGGCGGCGCACTCCCAGAAGCATGAAGAAGTTGTGCTTACTGCTCAGCAGTTCAGACTGCGCCGTGTCAACGGGGCAACGTGTGTGCAGAAACACCGTTAGCTCTTGATCGTAGCAAGAGGGTTGTGAACCTCCCATCGGGTTTAATCTGAAATGCCTGCAGAGGCAGAGATGGTGGCTGTGGCTCCTTCCTTGTGCCTGGCTCCCAGGTGTGAGCTCCCATTAGAGTGACTGCACCAGGGGAGGTGCCGCGGTTCACTCGGATTTGTTCTTTTCCCTTCTAATTTTGTCTTGGTGATCGCTTTGTTGATCGTTTCTGCACAATTCCTTCCCAGCCTGTTGCCAGCTGCTCTGTGCTCGCCCGGCCGCTCGCTGCGGCCCTCAGCACAAAATACAAAGGCCTGTGGGTTTGGACCGGGCCTTGCGGGCTGAAGGCAGCCAGGCCTGGGGCACGACCCCGAACTGTGCCCCATAGGATGCCCTGCTTGGACAAATCCCTGCTGGCCGGTTCACCCCAGGGAAAGCAGGATGACTGCAGAGGCTGAGGTTGAAACCAGGGCTGCAGCGGTGCCCTGTTGTACAGCCTGGTGCCTCCTGTCCATGCTGATGGAAGGTGGAAAGAAGCGCAGGCCTCTGGGGCTCTGTGCAGCTTTCTCAGTTCTTTCCCTTTTCCCCAGGGAAACGCTGATGTTTTAGGAGTGCTGAAGCCAAACTGCTGAGCATAAACCAAATGGCCTCGTGCCTCTGCACCCACCTATCCTGCTCATTTTGGGGAGTTAATGAACCCAGCTGGGTCAGTGCTGCTGTCTGGTGATGACTTCCTTCCTGGGTTGGTTCACAGTCCAAGAAGCCAAAGTCAGTGCTGTGCCAGCAGGTGCAGCACTGCGTCCTGTGCTGATGGAGTTCAACCACAACATGCCTTGAGGTAAATACTGGTGTTCTGTTGTTTGCTTTGTTTGCTTGTTGTTAGTTCTCTGAGGAGGCTGGCTGCAGGTCCCTGCATTGGTATGGGGATGGCTGTGGTGCTGCAGTGCCTGTCCCAGACTGCAGGCTGCTGTGGGACCAGTTCTGCTTATTCTGGACATCTTTTGTTTCTCTGTTTGGTAAATAACAAAGTTTCTGCTTTCTGTGGCATAAAACATGAGCCTTACTGTCCTGAGCTGTCAGCACATGGCCTCTGTTCGTACCTTTCCAGGTTTGTGGTTTTAGGAGAAAGGAATAGATTTTTGTCTTTTGCTGGTTCTATATTACACAGTGACACGTTACAAAGCATATGCAAATCTTGCTTTCCTTACGAGCTAAGCTCAGGATTGTGCAACATTTCCAATAATTTCTTGATGCTGCGTTTAAACAGAAGAGAGCAAAGAGCCCGGGTGAGGAAATGTGAGCCGAGTGCTGTGTGCTGACTGCTAGCATGACACAGCGGGAGAAAGCAGTCCCTATGTCAGTGTGCTGCAGGATCTGATGTGTTGTGCTGCTTACGTGGAAGGTTTTCATACGATGTGTGCATCACAAGAACTTTCCTCTTGCCTTTGTTTGCCCATGTCACCCAGGCAGGGAGCTCAGCGAGGCGGTTTCTGGCACAGCTCAGTTTTCCTTGAGAGCTCCTGTCACTTCTCAGCCCCCTCAAGTCCTGCTGGAAAAACTGTGGAATAATCCAGACTTGGGCAGGCTTTAATCTTGCTCAGCTTTGCCTTAAGCAAGGGTGACATTTTGAGGGCATGCAGTATTTTTCTGATGCAACTGCATTTGAGGTTGCTTTTATGCAGCATGTGCTATGGGGGAAAGCTCCTCACTTTTAGCCGAAAGAAATATTGTATTACCTCAGGAACATCTTTTGTGATCTGCTGCTGAATCACCTGCGCTGCGCAAACACTGAGGAGGGAAGGATTTGGGGGATTTGACTGGTTGGCCTAGAAGCTTTCCATGCCAAACTGATTGTGTTTGTTCCTTACAACCTACATTCTAGCGGACATCAAGTGCAGCCACCTCTAGAGCCTGAAGCAGAGGCTTTGTTACTGTCCTCTAATCATTCCTGTCCTGAAGCATTAGCTCTGTGATGAGTTTGCTCCCACAGCAGTCAGCCCAGGTGGGATCAGTGCAGGCTGTGCCAGCGAGGGCTGCAGGCCGTTCTCTGCCTGGAGCAGCTGGGAGAAGCTCAGCTCTGTGTGTGTGTGCGTGGAAGTTATGAAACTTTCTGGTACCAAAGTATAGTCCACGTATTCACCTCTTCTGATCCTCTTCCAGCACGTCCTCCCTGCTGGCAGTGGGGAGGGCTTTCTGTGTGGGAATGATTGTGGAGCAGATCCTGCCCTCTGCAGCAAAGGGAGGCAGCGCGTTCTGCTCCTGTGCACACGGTTCTTCCACCACCCAGTTTTGTACAAAAGGAGAGATGTAGTATTGGTTGGCGTGATGCTTACACATCCCCAGTGGGGACTTGATGCTGGTGCACAGCTGTTAGGAAATTCCAGCATAATAATAAACAACATCACGTGGTTTTAAACAGCATTTTCATTTTGCTTGGGTGAAAGCTTGTTGCTATGGCGCTGCAAGTATTGCAGAGTCCTGCAGTTTCAGGAAAACACGAAGGCAGGCTCCAGTCCATGCTTTCTGCCCTATGTACTGGGTGAAAATCCAGCGTTAACTTTTCTTTCTGTTGGTGTCTGAAGCTGTCTGAGAACCTTAAAAATGAGGAATGCATCTCAGTTCCTGCTGACTCAGCAGTAGCAGAGGGGAGCTGACCTCAGGCTGCCAGCAGCCCCAAAACCTCCATGTATCTCAATCTCAGCAACTCCCTGTATGGCACACGCTTTGTGTTCCTACACGAGAAGCAGCCAGGTGCTGTTTTCTCCATTCCTGCTGCACAGCAGACGTGCGGAGGGCTGCCTGAGCACAGAGCTGCAGGTTGGTGTGGGACTCCTTCCCACCTCTTGGCTCGTGCTGTCTGGCTCTTTCTTGGTTTTTTTGACTTTCAGTTTACCAATTTGAATTTCAAGTTGGTAAAATGTAGCTGTTACATATGCACCAGTGACAGTATATAACAATCTGACATCAAATTGAACGTCTTTAGAGGTAAACAAAGTGGTTTGGGAGAGAGAAGATGAAAAACAAGATGGTTTGTGAGTGCATGAGAACACCCACGAGACATGTGGGTGCTTTTTGACAGCTTGAAAATAGGCACACATGGGTCTGCGGCACCTGCCCAGGGCAGAGCAGAGTTTGCCAGCAATTGCTCCTTCTTCCTTCTCCCTTTGGGGTTTGTGGGTGCTGGGCTTTGGGCTGGAGGAAGCAGGCTGCTGAGAGCTCTGGTTGGCTGACCTGCCTTCAACAGGTTGGTCAGCATTTTTGTTGTTGAGCTTGCATATCTTTGCCAGGCTGTGCCCAGAGGCAAACCCACAGCTATGCTGTGAGCACCAGCACTGCTATGTAAATACACACCAATGGGCCGCAGCTGACATGGGCTGCCCAAGGGATGCCTCCTGCTTCCCTGCTACTGCTGTGTGCTGCTCTCCCTGTTTTTTGTGCCTTCTGAGGCAGCAGTTCAATCTGCCCCATTCTCTGCCTCCACCCCTGGTCACATCTTTACCTGACTGTGTGGCAGTCGCACTCGCTGCTGGGCGGCGGCAGAGGAGGGGTGTTGGTGTGGCTGCTACCTCCACTGCGTCCCCAGCTGCTGCCCAGCTGCTCCCAGTGGTTTCCTTCAGCTTTCTTTGTGAATCTTCACCTTCTGAAGGACAGCATAACAGCTTTAAAAACAAACAAAAACGCAACAAAAAGGGCTTCAGGATATTGATCTGACTGAGCACCGCACGCTGGCTCATTGCTGAGCAATGCAGCTCTGTGGGCCCATTGGGTGGCTGTGGGGGGAGCAGTGAGCGTGCCATCCCTAAGCCCTGTGCTGATCCTTGTGCTCAGATACCAACCTCCACTTGAGTTTGGACACCCAATGTCTGTGTTCTTCAGCAGGAATCCCTCCGCACAGCAGCTCCAGGACTGACCTTTTCCAGCCTCCTTGGGTGACAGCATTTGGTGCTGCTGGGCAGCCAGGTTTCATAGCGAGGGGTGTTGTGCCGTGCCCCTTCTGCTGACTGTGCTGGGGGTGTGTGCGTGCCACTGGATGTCACTGTCGCCCCGTGGTGCCTCGGGCACAGGCATGGCAGTGGGTGGCAGTGGGTGCCCGTGTTCAGCAGCAGCATCTCCATTGCTCTGGGCTATCCCAGAGGAGAAAGAGAGGTTTTGTGTTGCCCGAATCATGTTGAATCTAACAAACTTCAGGGGCTTCAGGTGGTCTGAGAGAGTAAAGAAACAAGAATGGAACAGGGGGCTAATTTCTGTGCTCATGAGCTTTTGGTGGCATAAAAGAGGCAGCAGATTGCGTGGGGATGCAGGGCTGCTCGGGTGCATTCAGTAAGCCCAAAAACAGAATTGGGATCAGTGTGCAAACTGAAATGTGGCTTTTGAAGAAGGCCTGAAACCTGCAGTGAGGAAAAGAGAAGGCAGAGCTCTGGCTGTAGGATGATGGCAGGTAAGGCTGACAGAGGACTTTCCTTTAAGGAGAGCTAACCTCAATCACTTCCTAATTATGTATTTATGATGATGTTACTTATGCTCACTCATCTAAACAACAAGGTGTTCCCAATCCACGTCTGCCCCAGTGCTGCTGCTGAGCTACAATGGGGGGCAGCTGCTCCCTGGTTGGAAGGCTTCTCCCACCCTCTTGCAGTCCATCAGCCCCTGCATATCGCTGT